CGAATAGGAAATGCAATTGCCGTGCCTAATTCCATTTCATGATCAGAAATGGAGAAACCGGTACTAATCACAAGAACAACATACCACCTCTCGATCATGAAAAAAGGTAACGTAAATCACATTGAAAGGGGAAAAGAAATAAAAAAACAGTACAGAAGCCGATGTGAAGAGGGAGAAGAAAAAAATTAGAGACAATGTAGAAAATGAGATGAGATCAAGATGATAGAAAGAAAGAGAGAATACCTCAGCAGAACATCCACGAACCTCCCGCAAAATGACCTTGTCTAGGCCGTTTACGCCCTTACAGTGCTCCACATGCACGACCTCCCGCGTCACTCTACCAATTTTCTTCTCCATGCCTGTTTTTTAATCTGTGATGGAATTGGCTGAGTATATATATATATATATAATAACAATAACATATCTATACATGTGTATATATATCCTAAAATACAAAATGAATCTTTCTTTAAAAATTACTAAATGAATTTTATTCAAATGGGTCATTATATTTTTTTATTCAATTTCCTATAATTTTTAACTCCGTTTAACCAAAATTTTCAGTTAACGAAAAAATCAATTGTTAATGTAAGTTATTTATTTATTTTATTATTATTATTATCATTTTAATTATTATAATAAAAAGAGAAAACATCCCCCCACTTTGCTGCAAACATAACCAGCTCTCATAATGTATGTACAGGGTTGGAAAACGAATTCACCACCGGCTGACCAACAATTACCAGCAATTATGCTTTTCATGTAAGCGAGTTGCGGCCTGCAATCCCAAACTGAGAACGAGTTTTTTTTTTACAAAAAAATATATATATATTTAAAATTAACATAAAAATTTTAAGAATTAAATTGAAGATTTGTCTTAATCTTAATAAAGAATGAACATGATACAAATTGTAACTATATGTGTAGGAGAATATCCCTTAATTTATTTTCAATTCTTCCACAAGAACAATAAATTTATCTCCCTTCAACGATTACGTAAATGAAAATGAAGATGAAGAATTAAAAAAAGAAAAATAACAGTTTTCTTTGGGTATTTTTTATTTATTTTGTCCACAAAATTACGTAAATTAACTAACAAACATTTGTGAAAATTAAATGAATTTAGAAAAATATTTTAAAATATTATTTTTAATTTTATTTTATTTTTTGGTGTTTCGTTATTTCACAAGTGTATATTTTTATAAGTAAAATATTTATAAATATATTTAAATATAAAAAAATATATATTTTTATATGCCAACCATACTTTACGATTACCTAACAAATTCCAAACACCGTAGTTAAAATTTTTTCTACTTAGTTTTTTGTAAACCTCATGTATATAATTACTTATTTATTTATTTTTAAGAAAATCTCTTTTCTTTTTTTTTTTTTTTCTAAAGAACACTATAATTGGTGTTCGTTGAATTTCTTTTTTCAATCTAATGGTTAGCATTTAGTCAAAGATCTTATTATGTCATTTAATTTTGAAGTAAGCATCAATTAATTAGTGATGTTGTGATATTTAATATTTTCATATACTCATCTAAGTTATTCATTTAGCATAAACTATTGAATTAAACTTTTACTTAGTAAACTAAAGAAACCATTAATTTCTAATTAATAATTTTTTATAATGGAAAAAAAAATTAGGATCCAATTAGTACTAATGTCTTACAAATATAATTTGAATTTAGTAATTTCAAAAAAATAATAATAATAAATAAATAAATAAGAGTTTAAGACAAAAGTACCAAAAAAAGAAAAGCTTTTTCAGTAAACTTTGTTTATCCAATAGTCGAGACAATGGTTAACTAAAATAACCATTTAATATGTCTACTAAATTTTAGAGTAAATTACAAAAACATCTTTTAGTTTTATATCACTTTACAAAAACATTATTTAGTTTTATACTACTTTACTGTATATTAAAATAAATATGACTAAGTAAAATAAGATTGAATCTCGTATGTTTTGTTAAAATAGCACGGTTTTCTTATGATCTTCCTCTAAAACCCTAATATATTTTGTAATTGGGTAGAACTCCTAATGCAGTATATTTTGTAAATGAGTAACACCCTTCGTGCCGTATATTTATATTTATATACATTATTTTTTATCTCAAAAAAAAATATATATATATTTAGCTGTCATTGCTATCGGACTTCTAAAATCCCCCAACTTATGAGGAAAATTAGTAGTCCTAAAACTTTTCATAAGGAAATAGAAGATTTGGAGGACCAACACATGCTTTTGCACTACTAGCTAGATCAACAAATGCAATATCAATTGTACCTCTAATACTATTACTATTCTTAAAAAAGGCAAGGTTTTGAATACATCAGTTCAAAGTATGTGCAAAATTTATTTAGTTCAAAAACAAGTCCTATTCAAAAATTTAAGTTCACGTAACATTTCAATCTCTTGGATGAAATTCCGCACAAAAATTCTATAAACTCAAACTTTTTTGTTTTATTCTACCACAATTTACATCTGCGAACTAAATTAAATATATGAAATCCCCATCAATTTTATATTTCTTTCGGGCATTCCCAAAGAAAAAAGAAAGGTACCCTTGTAAACTGCATTTCTTCTGTATGGAAAGAAAATCTCCAGCTCAGTAGCCCTTGTTTCCTCGAATCCTGGCTCTCATGTCAACCTAGAGGAAAAACTATCAAACAACAGCACTAATAACAATACTCACTCCACTGCCTGCGCATGTTCTAACTTTTATGTCAACTAAAATAACTCATACACTGTTTCTTCCACATATCACATCCAACAATAGTACGTTTATTTAAAAAAAAAAAAAAGAAATACAAACATCCAACAATAATATGTTAAGACAATTATATATCATTTGCTACCTTTTTGAAAAAGAGAGGAAGGCAACCTCATAAAAGCTCCTAAGATTTTGGTATAGTTACAATTAACATGCATAGTTTTTCTTAAAGAAAAATCCAACCCTTTTGTCATTTAACCGTAGCAAAAATTTTAACAAGAATAAACTACAATAGGTTACTGTATATATCTTTTGTTCCTTTTACACTCTTATTGTAATTTTTCTTTACCATATTAGCTAAAACCATAGTTTTTTCTTTAATGTTTTCTAAAGCAAAATCACTAATTATGTATTTGTTTTTGATCATTTTTTTTTTTTTTGAAATAATGTTTTTGATCATTTAATAAGTACCTAACTCTCATATGATTCATATTAAACTATTATTTAACATATATTAAGGAATTGTACCTAATTGCTAGATATATTCTTTTTACACAGAAACTAAACTAGTATCTTTCAAAATTGTGGACCTAATTCTAATTATATATCCAAACATTAGGTATTTTTATGAAAGCCACTCTGATTTTTAAAGAATAATTTAAACAGATATTATTAGGGAGAGAAAATGGAAGAGTAAGTCAACGGAAGGCAAGCTATTCTCCAAAACAAAAGGAAAGAGAAAAAGTACAAGAAAGATAAACATTAAATCCTAGCCTAATCTCTTAACAGAGTAGCTAAATAGAGATTCTCTTCAATGCTTATGCCTTTAAAAAGCTTTGAACTTCTCCCCAACCACACCACATATCAAATAGAGAAAGGCTCCTTTCTAAAACAACCTATCTTCCCTATTCTTCCCAATTCCAAGGAGGAAGGGAGATAGAAACATTTTAAGATAACGAGGACTAGAGGACAGACGCACTTAACACCAAAAGTATCAAACCTAGCGTAAAGCCCCCAAGCCAGATCATAATACGAAGAGTGCAAGGGACTCTGCCTTTCTATACGCATTACACACACATGAAAAAGGACAGTTGGCCAACGAGCTTAAAGCAGATCATCTTTGTTGAGCATGCCAGATCAGCTGTATAAACAAAAAACTATTACCTAGGGGAAGTATTTCCCTTCCAAAAAACAATTGGTAAAAACCACATTCTGATTGGTAGGATTTTCTATTATATAGGTAAAGAAGGATCATATTCTATGATCAAGAGTTTAAGAAACTTTAAAGGGAAATAAGGAGGTCAAGCAAGGAAAGCACTTCAATATTTCCTGACAATTCAAAACATGTGAGCTTCAGATGGATGATGAAATTAGAGCATTATGACAAAGTGAAAGATCATAAAACTGCAAAACGAGTGGCCAAAAGGAAATGGTAATCCAAGGGTCTCCTTGAAACAAGATATGGTCCCATCATCCCATCAAACGGATAACAACAATGTAATCATCATAAAGCTATGACATACATTCCAGAAACTCCTTTGCATTATAATAGCTCCTAGCCTTGGCATCCTAACCAATGCAACCCATATTTGATAACAGATAACAAGAGCAAAAACATCATAAAGGTGTGACAGCCTTCCAGAAAGCTTTTAGACACTAAGTTCAATGTGATATAGAGAGAGGTTCCAAGGGAAAATTCCATAATCACTTGGTCAATAAGAACAAGTTTTAGACACAAAGTTCAATTTATGCTCATTCTGCCATCCTTTTTGAGAAGAAAACACACCTTTTATCTAACCACATAGTCTCTCAAAATGCTACCTGATCCTGACCGCATTAAAATTTTCATCCTCCTTTCTATTTTCCCAGCCTCTTTTATGGGATTCATAAACAAAGAATGATAATACAAGAGAGTGCTAGACAAACACGCATGTACAGAGTAATCCTTTGCTGTAGAAGACACAGCACTCTTCCAACAGTCAAGATGCTTGAAAACCCTACAGAGCACAGATCCAATATGGAAACAAGAA